CCCCCCCCCCCCCCAAAAAAAAACTCGGGAATGTAGAATGTCATGTTGACCCTCATTTGAGGAGAAAATGCATGCCTCTAACTTTAGCACGACACCAAGACGGTAGCTTTGCTTTAGAAGTACGGCTATCACGACATGCAGCTGAATATTTCTTGGGTTTTTGTTTGGTGTTTAAGTAAATTATGTGCGATTACATTGTATACATGTGGCTTAAAAATATGGCTAAAAAATATGGATCAAATATGTGGCTCAAACATATGGCTGAAACATAGGGCTCAAACATATGATTCAAACATATGGCTCACCATACGGCTCAAACATATGGCTCAAGCATATGGCTAAAACATATGTCTCAAACATATGGATAAAAATATGGCTCAAACATATGGCTCAAACATAACATGGTGTAAACATAGAGCTCAAACATAATATGAATCAAACATATGGCTCAAACATGTTGCACAAACATGTTGCACAAACATGTTGCACAAAGATTTGGCTCAAACATATGGCTCAGATATATTGCATAAACATATGGCTTGAACATATGGCACAAAAATATGGCTCAAATATATGTCACAACCATATGGTAAAAACATATGGCTCAAACATACGGCTCTAAAATCGATCACAACTATCCGATAATAAGGAGTATATTTAGTCACACTCGTTATAGCATACGGAATATATTTAGTCACACTCGTTATAGCATACGTAAGGAATAATTTATTTGTTTTTAGAGTACTATTTACATATATGGCATTAATGTAAAATATATAATGAGAAAGAGATAATATACATTATTGACTTTGCGGTGTTCTTACCCCCCACTGCCGTCCATATCTCGTACAACGCTGTGGGGATACTGTCTTGTAGATGGATTGTGCCGAGACTCAAGCAGATAAGATAAGAGGTGCTGAAGGGAGCTAACGTATTGGAAATGGAACTTGTTGATATATGAACGTGTTACTTCCCTTTGTGAAGACAGCTTCAAGTCTTTGCCATTTCACCCAGTCATTCTCTTAACACACTCATTATCACTAAAAGATTTATTATATCTTTTGATATCTTACCCGAAATCAAAAAATAATCGCCCAAATCACACACCCAACAACGGTGGAGAGATGGGAATGTATCGCGATGGTCGCCTTGGGGACCGTTTCAGAGAGCACCTCTATAACATAAATAAACACGCTCTCTGTCCGGTCTCCAAACATTTCAATAGCCCTAACCATAATGGTATCTCAGATATTGTAGTTACTGGTATACTCTATACTAGTAACACTGCAGATAGAATCTATATGGAGAACAAATTAATAACTAGATTTGGTACGTTGTCTCCATATGGATTGAACCAAATCCATAGTTTTACTTAGCTGCCATGTCTTTTTCCTGTTTGGTTTTTCCAATTATGTTTGAATCACTTCCTTTCTACATCTCTTTACTTTGTTTTTGTCAGGTTTAAGCGCCCTCTCCTATATTTTTTCTGTTTTAGGTAGGATATATATATTGACATTATGTAAATTTAATTTATACTTATTTAAATGTGTTGTGTTTGTTTGTACTGATGAAGGCATGTGCCGAAACGTTTAATTCTGTATAATGTACAATTATTATTAAAGCTAACTCATATTGTTCTATTGACACAATTTGTTCGTGTCTTATTAATATATTTTAAAGCTTTATTGCAGTCCAACACTTTTTATAATTAGTTAACACACTCACAGGGGCCATTAAATGTATTGTGAATGTACCCTTTAGAACAACGCAAAAAGTATTGATTGATTGATTGAAATTTCGGGTAAGATATCAAAAGATATTTTTGTTTAAACTTCTTAAAAAGACTTTCTATTAAGAAACGACTTTATACGCACTAACAAGTAGATAATAATTTAACATTTCTTCAAATGAATTACGCCAAGTCTCGTGACAAGACATATCCTCCAAACTGGCTAACAAGATGGAGATGCGAGGAGAAGGAAAATCTTTGATAAATATAGGTATAATTCGTTGAGCAATTTACTATTCCACTTAATGGCTAACTTTGGCACCCTGTTTTAAAAATGCAAATTGGTTTTTAATTTGTTCTTCTTTTTCGTGCATACATGTGTGTTTGTATGTGCATATGTGCGTTGGGTAGGTCTCTGTAAGAGTAAGAAGGACAATGCAACCATTGGATAACTCAGCATAGTCATTTATAATTTTTTATATATCAGGGGTAAATCTTTTAAAGGCTGAATGTGCAACAGATCAATTGAACTTAGAATGAAAACATCTATGATAACAAAACACTCTGTTCAGCTGATTTTTTAATAAAATGCTACAAATATACACATGAAATGATCCTTTGATATAAATCTACAAATAGGATAAATCTTTGATTTTAAATATTTTGAAGTTAAACAATGTGTATAGAATACATCCAAAAGGAATTCACAGAAAAGTATAAATGATTTATTCATCACATGAATATTTATTTCATATCAGTCTAAAACGAACTGTATAAAATAATGGTAAGCAAAATATATTGTTCTGGCATGTTTACTAGTAAATATAATGTAGATACATTTTTTAACAACGTGCCCTTGATTAAAAAACATAATTTATTAAAAAATCACATCGTCATAAGATTAGGTTTTTCATGCTAAGAAAAGTATACGCTAGACAGCTCAGCTTAAAAAATAATCATTCTCTTTGGAATATGGCGGTTACAGTGTAACTCTCCTTTTTATGGCTCAAATCATGAGATCCATCTATTTAAAACCAAATGTGTTTGTTTCGCTTTTTATCAAAACTAATTTGACATTTCTGTTTAATTCGGAAAATTTATCAGTTTTAAACTCTTCTATGCTGTACTCTATCACATCCATTTGGTTAATTTTACTCTATAAATCAATTATCGTCTTTGAAACCACAAAGAATAATCTCGTGACACCTAATGGTGAAGGCGAGATGGCTCGTGATTATTACTTGTTATGCATTTTACATGAAACTATAACAGTCTTACATTCAATCCTTTCATAGCAGTTTCCTCAGACGACCGTATTATAAAAGCGCCGATAACTCTATCGAAGATGTTTTTGTTTTTTTATATTATGCCACGGGAAACGGCCTATGGAAAATTTTTTGTGCTGAGAAATTGTACTATGAACTACACATTACATGCATTGGTGCCAACCATGAAACTGTCCTCTTCCAGTGGCGAAGTTATTTCTTCTTTTTCTTCTTTCCACCTTTCTTGCCAGATTTCGTTTTGCCTTTGGACTTGCCTGATTTCTTCCCGCCTCCAGATTTCTTGCCCTTTTGGCTTGGGCTTTTGCCTCTGCTGCTGCTGGCGGATTTCAAGCCTTTCTTGCCTTTCCCGCCATTCTCGTCGTTCTTCATGTACTCTTTCAAAACACCTTCAACCTTTTGACCCTGGCATCGTTTCTGGGAAAAACCAAAATTAAGAAATTTAAAACTTCAACAGTTGGATAATCTCTTGCATTATAATTGCAATAACTTAAAGGTATACAATTTGCTTTTTGGCATTTTCCCCAATGACACTTAAGTATATATAGATGCTATATGAGGCATAAATAAACCTATATTCTTGCTAAATAATCCATAGGTAAATAACATTTGACTGTTGTATTTAAAAGCTCTTGTTGAGTTTTCAGGAAAAAAGATTTTAAGACTAACTCTAGGAAATTTCATAATACTTTCCCCCCCCCCCAAAAAAAATTGTTTATTTTGGTACTTGGGGGATGTTGGTGGGTGCATTGAAGTAATCACAAATATAATCCAATGCGTTGACCACAAGAGCCATGGCCTTAGTCTGAGGGCATTGAAAAGGTTACAGGGAAGCGCTGCTGATCCCAATATTAACAGTCAACTATGAAAAATACAAATTGCACCAAAAAAAAAAAAAAAAAGAAATAGCATGGAACGGAATAATAGAATCAACTTGATGAGGAAAAATATATTTGTTTATTAGGACTTAACGGATGTGCATTTTTTTTTTACTCCGATTCTGGGTATTTTGAGAAAATACCCGGGGTTCCAAGTGTTACAAAAAAGGAGTTAATTTCTCATTTACTATCTATAATGTATTCCGGCCTTTAAACAATAGGCCTACAGACAGGCCTACAAACAATCCTACAGAATTGTCCTATAGAAAGTCCAACACATCACCTGCCGAGCTTTAAACACAAGTCCTAAAGACAGTCCTACACCCAAACTTCCGGAAATCAAACCATAGTCCTGCAAACAGTCCTCCAGGCATTCCAACGCCAGACACTTGGCTCTTTATTGGTTAATATAAGATAATATCCAGATAAAATGCTGAAATCTTTTTTTTTTTCGGGGGTTAACTTCAACCGTCACGCATGATGCTTGCTGCTTGATTGTTTTATTTTTTTTTTAATCAGTAATATTAATATACAACATAGTATAAAACAAATTGAGTTGGGGAGGGGGGTGCCGATTGTGAACGGAAGCACCCCATCCCAGGAGAGATTTTGTGTATTACTTCTTTACAATCTCGTCCAAGCCAAAGACGTCATAAATACAAACTCCATCCAGTTTTTAAAAAAACCCGTCATAAATGTTTGAATTATTTCTAACTCGGTTTAGCACAACCTTGGCCCTGAACACTGACGGACTTGTATGTTTACAAACAAGCTTTCACCTGCTTCTACCAAATTTAAGGTATGAATACTCCTCATTCGACACTTTCCGGATCGTTTCCGAGTTTCTAACGTTATCTTGCAAGTCCGAGTCAGCTGGGTCGAGACATTCCATTTAAGGCTCTCGAAGAACGCTCCACTCTCCTCCCACCAAACCGACTCACAAAACCACGCTGCGTGTAGCATGTAAGCTGCCCAGTTTGCATTCCTTTATTTGACTTGGACATAAAGAAACGTAGACCTTTCGGCACCTTGTCAACGCCATTCAGACAACCGCTGCGGGTTATCTTGACACTGCGTCCAGGTGAACAGACTGTTGAATTGTTGAGCTGGGAATAACGTCAAGTCCTCCTCACCTCGGGTGATGTTGCTTGCACAATGTTCAGACAATGTTAAGAGATAATCAGAGTTTAGCAGTCCCTTGTTTATTACATGCCTATTCTTTATATACCGGATTTCGAGAAGCTATCTACAAAAAGCCTTAAACATAATCCAAGTCTTTTAAAGATGAACAACTTAAATAGCACCAAAAAATGAAGGTAGTTTTATGACACATGGCGGGGTTTATAGTCTTTATGCGACGATTTTTTCCATCCATCCATCCCTGTGGCGCTACAGCCCATGTGGGGCTTTGGCCCGCCTCACCACTTCCTTCCACTCAGACAATCCATCCATCCCTGTGGCGCTACAGCCCATGTAGGGCTTTGGCCCGCCTCACCACTTCCTTCCACTCAGACAATCCATCTATCCCTGTGGCGCTACAGCCCATGTAGGGCTTTGGCCCACCTCACCACTTCCTTCCACTCAATCCATCCATCCCTGTGGCGCTACAGCCCATGTAGGGCTTTGGCCCGCCTCACTACTTCCTTCCACTCAGACAATCCATCCATCCCTGTGGCGCTACAGCCCATGTAGGGCTTTTGCCCGCCTCACTACTTCCACTCAGACAATCCATCTATCCCTGTGGCGCTACAGCCCATGTAGGGCTTTGGCCCGCCTCACCACTTCCTTCCACTCAATCCATCCATCCCTGTGGCGCTACAGCCCATGTAGGGCTTCGGCCCGCCTCCCAACTTCCTTCCACTCAGACCTAACTAATGCTTTTTCTTGTACAATGTAGTAGGGCTTTGAAAAGTTAGGGAATGAGCCAAGATACCAGACACTTCCATCACCCAAATTTACACATGGCAATATCAAGATCTAATAAATACTTAAGAGTGGTATTTCTTGTAAAATAATTACGAAGACATTTTATTTCGTCGAATGCTATTGTACCGGTTACAAGTTCAGTTTCTTAGCATAACAGCAGAGCGTGGTTTACAGTAAAGGCAATCATTCTTCACATACATTTTTAGACAAGGGTTAGTGCTACGTGTAGCCATTTGTACTTTACTCCGAGGTGCCGACGACATGCCATGATATGAGACTTAGCTTACTTCACTGAACATATTACATTGTTGTTAGAGGATAAGGATGCTCAAGATCCATTATGCAAGACATCTGTGTCCGCAAATCCCCCGAAATGTATCCAAGTATTCCCATTAGATTGGCCGTCCCCTTGTCTTTATGGATTGAGAAAGGTGGTTAGAGATTAGGAATATAGACAACATCACAAACAACGTTATAATCAGAAACAGCGTATCTCAAACGTTCTATTTGACGGACACATTTCGCCCCGGCCCGTTGTCAGATTTATTAATTATACTTTCTTTTCGTTTGATCATAAATATCCATATTGCGTGGACCCACCGCAGACTTTGGGGAAACGCTGATCTCAAAGCGTGTTAAAACGTTTCCCATGTGGTATTAGAAACAACTTGTTAGATGGGGTTGGAGCCATCGCCGCATCAACTAAAGATCTTATTTTACTTTAAACATGTTTTAAGGTAAGGACAAGTAAGGAGCTTCCTACGCTTGAATACACAAAGTCTATGGCCGCTGTTATCTTACTTTCGGTACGCTTCCGTTCTTCCCGTTTATTATATACTCCTAATAGTAAAAAAAAAAAAAAATAATTATAAAATAAAACAAACGTTTACCATATCCAAAAGTGTTGGTCTTTTGAATTCCTGATTCTGAAAATGAAATACAGAAGAACACCTCACCTGATGACATTTGGCGCATATCGCCGACTCCTTCATGTTCCCAGCAAACTCTCCCCTCATGCACTCCTTGCAGTAGCGAGTGCCGCACCATTTGCACATGAAAGTCTGTGAAATCAGAATTAGTTTTTTTTTTTTTTTTTAAATCAAAATTGTGTATTTTATTTTCCCACTAATATAAGGTATTGCTACCGGTGGTTGACATTATCGATGGGGATTTAAGACTGCTTTCAAATAATGCACCATTTGCACATGAAAGTCTGTGAAATCAGAATTAGTTTTTTTTTTTTTTTTTTAAATCAAAATTGTGTATTTTATTTTCCCACTAATATAAGGTATTGCTACCGGTGGTTGACATTATCGATGGGTATTTAAGACTGCTTTCAAATAAAGCTATACCTCTCCAAACACACTCCTTTAACACAAATAATTGTCATTCTAATTTTTAAACTCTTTTTTTTTTCTGGGGGGGGGAGGGGGGGTTGGAGGGGGGAAGTGGGTTTGTCGGTAAAACAAAGAGGAGGAGTAGGGATGCTCTTCTAATCATATTGACACAATAACATTTGATGTCTTTACGGGTTCAACAACAACAACAACAACAACAACAACAACCCGCGTTTGAAAAGGACAGTGGTATACACCCGACAGAAGTATCCCACCCTCCAGGCGAGATGCTGCTAAATACAGACTCGTGAGCTTACCGAGTTAAAGGCGGGGCAACCCCACCGACACATCTTTGCGTCTTGGACGAGCTCTCAGGACGAGTGACTACAACAGTGAAGGAGGCGCCTATGTCATTTGAGGTCACGTGCCGGTTTTTGCCTGGGGGGGCAAAAAAGTGTTTTAAAATGTTTTGAAAGCGAAAATGTCCTTTCGCTGTGTTTACACACCTTAAATGAGTTTTCATGAATGGATTTGAATGCTAATGGTTTAAATTTAGGACAATTACTTTCCCTCTATACTTGACTGAACTAAACTCTTTGAGCCAAGGTGAGACAGAAATTATTAAGTTGCTCCAAAAAAAAAAAAAAAAGGAAATTAAGATCTTATTATTAATGTAGAACTGACAACCAAGAAATGGCTCTTACATTCATTATCTATTATAGAATTCAACCAACTTATGGCTCGTACACTCAGGTAATACAGGATTCAACCACCATAAGGCTTTTAATTGCATCAGCTAATATAGGATTCAACCAACATATTGCTTTTACTTACATAAGCTAATATGGGCTTCAACCAATACATGGCTCTGACACTTTTTAGCTCATTGAGGCTTCAACCAACATTTGGCTCTTACACTGATCAGCTAATATAGGCTTCAATCAAAATATGGCTCTAACTTTCATCAACGTTATTAGGGCTCACTCAATCAACAATTAATTGAGGATCACAAGAATGGAACATGAAAAAACAACCAAGCATTCTCGCCAACACACAAGGCTAGCAAAAACAGCTTTTACCTGCCATTGGAATATTGCTTAAAAAACGAAAGCTATTAATTCGCCACTGATCCTACTGCAGTAGACAACACACACACGCATTGACGCAACAACACCCGACCTCACACACACACATACATTGGCACAACACACCAACCACACACACACACACACATTGACCCAACAACACCCAACCACAGCCCCCTTTTTAAACCTTTTAGTGATTTATTGATCCCGATAAGTTTGTCTCGGATCGCCGTAATATTTGAACTACTTGAAGACGTTGTCGAAGACGCAATGTAGCGGGCGCTTCACAAACCACGCGGCACATTGACGTAAAATATAAGGGCTTTACATGTTTAAGACTTTACACAAATCGGTGTTAACATGGCTAGATTAATGAGACACAGGCAGTTTGTGTGAATACAATAGTATGTGTTAAGCTTCAATTGTGATTCAACAAAGTACACATATAAACGTTTCGCCTAATGCCTACATCAACAAAAAAAACACAAAAAAAATATATACAAGTTAAATTTACATAAGATATGTATGTATATCCCTGGAAATAAAAGACGTTGACCTTTCGGCACCTTATCAACACCATTAAGACAACCGCTGGGGGTTATCTTGACATTTCGTCCAAATTGACAGACTGTTAAATTGTTGAGCTGGGAATAGCATAAATTCCTCTCCGCCACAGGTAATATTGCTTGCCAAAGATCCGGCAACGTAAATAAATAATGAGTGTTTGAGGAGCCTTTGTTTATCCCTTGTCTACTCTTTATACACAGGTCTGTAAGAAACATATATTAGTATAAGCTAAATTTATATAATATATATATATATGTAAAGTTGGAAATAAAATAAAAAGGGAAAAAAGACTATAAAAGGTCAGAGGTCCCTAACTGAAACAAAGTTTGTTTGCATTATTTTAACTCAAATTAATATCAGAACATGATATTCATAGGGCCGTTCAGGTCACGAAAGCAACTTTTGTTTTATGGGTGCTCAGGGCATTTCTCTAGAGGCCATTTCATTGGAGGCCATTTCATTGGACGCCATTTCATTGGAGGCCATTTCATTGGAGGAAATTTAATTGGAGGCCATTTCATTGAACGCCATTTCATTGGAGGTCATTTCAGTAGATGCCATTTCATTGGAGGCCATTTCATGAGACGCCATTTCATTGCAGGCCATTTGATTAGAGGCCATTTCATTGGAGGCCATTTCATTGGAGGCCAGTTCATTAGACGCCATTTCATTGGAGGCCATTTCATTAGAAGCCATTTATTTGGACGCCATTTCATTGGACGCCATTTCATTGGACGCCATTTCATTGGAGGCCATTTCATTGGACGCCATTTCATTGGAGGCCATTTCATTGGACGCCATTTCATTGGAGGCCATTTCATTGGACGCCATTTCATTGGAGGCCATTCCATTGGACGCCATTTCATTGGAGGCCATTTCATTGGACGCCATTTCATTGGATGCCATTTCATTGGAGGCCATTTCATTGGACGCCATTTCATTGGAGGCCATTTCATTGGACGCCATTTCATTGGACGCTATTTCATTGGACGCCATTTCATTGGAGGCCAGTTCATTGGAGGCCATTTCATTGGAGGTGATTTCAGTGGACGCCATTTCATTGGACGCCATTTCATTGGACGCCATTTCATTGGAGGCCATTTCATTGGACGCCATTTCATTGGAGGCCATTTCATTGGACGCCATTTCATTGGACGCCATTTCATTGGACGCCATTTCATTGGAGGCCATTTCATTGGACGCCATTTCATTGGAGGTTATTTCATTGGACGCCATTTCATTGGAGGCCATTTTATTGGAGGCCATTTCATTGGACGCCATTTCATTGGAGGCCATTTCATTGGACGCCATTTCATTGGACGCCATTTCAGTGGAGGCCATTTCATTGGAGGCCATTTCATTAGAGGCCATTTCTTTGGAGGCCATTTCATTGGACGCCATTTCATTGGAGGCCATTTCATTAGAGGCCATTTCATTGGAGGCCATTTCATTGGAGGCCATTTCATTGGACGCCATTTCATTGGAGGCCATTTCATTGGACGCCATTTCATTGGACGCCATTTCAGTGGAGGCCATTTCATTGGAGGCCATTTCATTGGAGGCCATTTCTTTGGAGGCCATTTCATTGGACGCCATTTCATTGGAGGCCATTTCATTGGAGGCCATTTCATTGGAGGCCATTTCATTGGACGCCATTTCATTGGACGCCATTTCATTGGAGGCAATTTCTTTGGAGGCCATTTATTTGGAGGCCATTTCAACGGAGGCCATTTCATTGGAGGCCATTTCATTGGAGGCCATTTCATTGGAGGACATTTCATTGGAGGCCATTTTATTGGAGGCTATTTCATTTGAGGACATTTCATTAGAGGACATTTCATTGTAGGACATTTCACTGAAGGCCATTTTAATTGAGGCCATTTATTTGGAGGCCATTTCATTGGACGCCATTTCATTGGAAGCCATTTCATTGGAGGCCATTTCATTGGAGGACATTTCATTGGAGGCCATTTCATTGGAGGCCATTTCATTTGAGGACATTTCATTAGAGGACATTTCATTAGAGGACATTTCATTGTAGGACATTTCACTGAAGGCCATTTTAATGGAGGCCATTTATTTGGAGGCCATTTCATTGGAAGCCATTTCATTGGAGGACATTTCATTGGAGGCCATTTCATTGGAGACCATTTCATTGGAGGCCATTTCATTTGAGGACATTTCATTGGAGGAAAGTTCATTGTAGGAAATTTCACTGAAGGCCATTTCATTGGAGGCCATTTCAATTTAGGCCATTTCATTGGAGAAAGTTTCACTAGAGGTCATTTCATTGGGGGCCATTTCATTGGAGGCCATTTCATTGGATCATTCATAGTGAACAGATCATTCATAGTGAGGCTGTTAAAGGTGTCCACAATGTGATATCGTAATGTATTAACATCATGCTTTGTGAGCACCTAGTGGGATACAAAAGCGACTAAATCAGTTACCCGTTGCCTCACTCGACCTCTGATACAATCTGTTTAAAAACGAAAAGTAAATCGACTCTAGAAACTTTCAACTGTACTTATGGACCTATTTGATTACACAGTAAACGGTGATTTTCCAAAAAAATTATCAGTGCAGGCTGTAGTGAAGCAAAAATTAAGACCTCGTTTCTCAGCCACATAATATTCAGTTTAGAAATGGTACCATCAAATATTCAAGGCATTTCCCTCGTTAAACAAGGTCTATTGGCGTGAATGTATCATTTAAAAAAAAATATATAACACAACGCGCAAATCTGAACTCCGATGGCTCAGCAAATTACGCTCGTTCGGACCTTGTATGTCATTTGATGAATAAATGTTAGTGTTAAATACAGCGAACATCACGACCATAAATCACATCCACAAAAAAAAAAGAAACTATAATCTCAGCCCCACTGAAATAGATACGAGACGAAAACGTCAAGTTGAGATACCGCCAGGGGTAAAAAGCCTCGTTTGCAGTTTAGTAGATAATGTCGAAATGAGAGTTCAAGCTCATGTCGGTCCCAGAAATCTTGTAGAATTATCATAAAAATTGTCAAAGTGTGTACGTCAGTAAGGTTTTTTATGTGTCAAGTGAGCCTTCCAGGTCGTTGATTACTTGACAGGTAGATTTATTTCTTTGAAAATATATTTTAAAAAATTAATTATTTTTATATTTTTTAATCATTCGGCCAAACAGTCGTTATCACAATTTTGATGTTCTAAAATTAAAAGCATAAAATTCTTTCAAAATTAAATAATAATAATAATGAGTGGTCTTTTATAGCCGGTACCCCAGCCCAGGGCTGAGCTTATCGCGCTGTACATAAAAAATATTATCAAAAGAGACATAATCATGCCATTAAACTCAAATACAATTATGAAATTAAAAACAGCATGAACCCCTTAAATTTACAAGGAAAACCATGGACGGCAGCCAACAAGATCATCTATCGGTCAGAGGAGGGGAATCAGTCAGGGTAGTATAGTTTAAAGAGATGTGTTTTGAGTGCAGTTTTGAATGCTAGGGTAGTTGGTACATTGCGGATGTGCAGTGGCAAAGAATTTTTAAAAATCAAAGTTATTGCAAATATTAGGTATATTAGGAGTTTCTATGGTCGATACTTTGATTATTAATTGATTATTAATTGAAAAAAAAAAAAATTCGAATCAGAAATAAATAATCATTGTTCAATAAATAGACGATAGAGAGTTTTTAGACACTAGACACTAGAGTTGTTATAGACACTACACAATAAATAGTGGATAGACACCATAAAATAAGTAAATTATAAGTAGTCTATAGACAGCAGGCAATAGTGTTTGCATCTATCTGTATAGTGTTTGAATTCAATAGAACATAGACTATGATGTTGTTTTTTTTCCATTTACCAGTCAATAGTTTGTTTCTCTACACCAAAGTATGCTTATTTTCTTCACACCCAACAATGGTGTATTTAATGTGTAAAACTTTTAGACGCACAAAAAAAACTTTGGCTTTAACTCATTACCCTACCTGCTGTTTAAGTTTAATTCATTACCCTACCTGCTGTATTAGTTTTAACTCATTACCCTGCGTGCTGTTTAAGTTTAACTCACTAACCTACCTGCTGTTTAAGTCAACTCATTACCCTACCTGTTGTTTTAGTTTAGCTCATTACCCTACCTGCTGTTTTAGTTTAGCTCATTACCCTACCTGTTGTTTTAGTTTAGCTCATTACCCTACCTGTTGTTTTAGTTTAGCTCATTACCCTACCTGTTGTTTTAGTTTAACTCATTACCCTACCTGTTGTTTTAGTTTAGCTCATTACCCTACCTGTTGTTTTAGTTTAACTCATTACCCTACCTGTTGTTTTAGTTTAGCTCATTACCCTACCTGTTGTTTTAGTTTAGCTCATTACCCTACCTGTTGTTTTAGTTTAACTCATTACCCTACCTGTTGTTTTAGTTTAGCTCATTACCCTACCTGCTGTTTTAGTTTAGCTCATTACCCTACCTGTTGTTTTAGTTTAGCTCATTACCCTACCTGTTGTTCTAGTTTAGCTCATTACCCTACCTGCTGTTTCAATGTAACTGGTTCTAACGAAAAGGTCAGTATCCAATTATCAACAATGAAATGTAACTTCAGGCACTGCAAAGGTCTCGCGATAGTTCAGCACAGTTGGAAACTATAGCTCCATTCTGCCCCGAGTGTTGCTAGGGGCGCCATGACATGTAAACAATATGGCAGCTCTGGTGGCCTACAAGCGGAAGCCTCTCTTGATCCAAGTGTCGTCTCGCGACAGTCGCGTTAATGGGAGACGCCGATACTAGGCAAGTCCTTTTAAAGGGACCGACACAAAGAGACATGACGCGTCGTGTGATCTGTGTGTTTGTACATTATCATTGAACACAATAAACCTCTTGGGGTAAAGTGTACGAGATACAACTGCGTGTGCACTCTTTGGGAGACCTGCGGATTAAATGGGAGGGAAAAATAAAGACAAGGGTGTGCAGCTGGATAAAAAGACAAACTTAATCAATACGTTTAAATTCTATGGCTTGCATAGTTCGCTCTTTCTCGTTATTTCATTCTCTCTCCCCGTAATTCCATGACACTTTCCTCCTCCTCTCTCTCTATCTCTCTCTCTCTCTCTCTCTCTCTTTCTCTCTCTCTCTCTCTCTCTCTCTATCTCTCTCTCTCTCTCTATCAATCTTACTGGCTTTCTCTTACCCTAATGTTTCTATTAACGCAAAAAAGCCCAGAAAACAATCGGATGACTACTGTTTTTATTATATTGGAAAGTCATAAAATGTGAAGAGTGCTTAGAAAATAGAGAAGTGAGCTGGAGGACGGAGTAGAGAATACGTTTGTAAAATAGCAGGAGAAAGGGCAGGAAGGGCAGAAAAAGGGTAGGAGAGAGGACACGAGAGAAGGCGGCAGAGAGGGCAGAAGAGAGGACAGGAGAGGGGGCAGGAGATGGCGGCAGAGAGGGAAGCGAAGAGGGCATTAGAGAGGGCCGGATAGATGGCAGAATACATTACAAGAGAGATGACATCAGAGACGTCAGCAGAGAGGGCAGGGGAGACGGCAGAGAAGACTGAAAGGTACACGATTACAGGACGAAAATTGATATGACAGGTAAAGGGTCACTGATAATCAACACAGGTGGCTCAAAATCTCCCTAAAAATGACGGACTGTCCATGAATTAAACATCATCTTCATAATCGTCTCTGTCCATGACACGTTATACCACTTATCTACCGGACTGACGGCGGTTGTAACAGTCTGCACCAGACACTTTGCCCTTGAAAAGACTTGACATAGAACAGACCAATGTTTATATATGCGGAATTATTTTTAAAATATAGAATGCGGGGGGGGGGGGGGGGGGGGGGGAACACCACACCCAGCGTTAGAACTACTAGCTATATATAACAAGAGCTCGAGAAAATAGGTCACGGTACACAAGGTCAGGGACGGCTACTTCTGGGTTTCCCTGTCGTTTTCGATATCGCGTGTCGCTTCGTGCAGATAATCCGATAATTTCTTGTATTGATTCGTCATCGATCGGCTTGCCCTATCCAGTTGTCACATAACCATTCACGCTCGAGGTCCCAGCGGTAACAGCGCCGTTTGTACGATTCGCCGGCGCCGTGCGGCAGCATTGAATAGCTTTCCTTGGTGTACGTCCACACCGGGGTATCAGAAGATGCAAACGTCTGCGACCTGTTTGTTGGTTTAGCCTGAGGAGTTGCTCACCCGTATCGTGGTGTGAATTTTTCAAAAAAAAAAAAAATGGCGACCGCAGAAGGCATATATCTTTCTTAAATATCTACAGAATCGGGATAACAAATAGCAAATGTAATGATCAATTATCTTTTTTTTTTTTGTAATTTTCAATGACCTACAATTATTTAGAACTGATTCGTCCAAAAAAAAAAAAAAAGAAAAAAATTGGTTCACTGGAGTTGCATCATATATTATGATGAGAAGTTTACACATTTGTGTAGAACAATCACTTGATTACATGGAAGAATGCAAGCTATTCACGTGAAGGGCATATGTGTGCGGTACAATCCACTGATTACATGAAAGAATGGATGATGGTAATGATGGGGTCAAACGAACATTTGTATCTCTTTAGGGAAAACCCGAAATAGTACTGAGACCTAAAAATAGTTGATAACTTGTTTGGCTTGTATATCTCTCCTACATTACACTTGCCAGAAGACCGTATTTGGTACAAAACAAGGCAGGTCTGGGTATTTCTTCTTACCAATTATTTTTTGAATCAATCCTTTTTTCCCCTCATTCTTCTTCTTCTTTATTTTAAGGGCCCACGATCAATGAATTGATCATCCTGGCTCCATTCCACTATGTAACGATTAAAAGTTGATAATATGCATACAATATCAAATACGTTTGAAATCTAAAATAAATATAATTTATTTATTTTTTAAATCTACCCTTGAATTTTTATTTTTATTTTTAAAAATCTCAATTCTGTTGTCATGGTAACTTTGACTTCACTATTAAGTTAAACTAAGACTCAACCAATGTATTAAAAAAGAAAAAAAATCAAATTAAACTTTTTTCATTTTCTTTTTAATTAAAAATATTTAGTTCTCATTAACATTACTTTGTTTCAGGTAAGTACGCTGTCAAGAAACTGCAACAAAAACAAAAAAGCAAATTAACGTAATGTAATAATAATGTAATAATTATGACCAATGTGCTGATATGTAGTACATTATAGTTTACCGATGTGATAATGGTGGAAAATGGTAGTTCATGGTAGTTTACCAATGTGCTGGTGGAGGTACATGGTAGTTTACCAATGTGCTGGTGATGGTACATGGTAGTTTACCAATGTGCTGGTGGTGGTACATGGTAGTTTACCAATGTGCTGGTTGTGGTACATGGTAGTTGACCAATGTGCTGGTGGTGGTACATGGTAGTTTACCAATGTGCTGGTGGTGGTACATGGCAGTTTACCAATATGCTGGTGGTGGTACATGGTCATTTACCAATGTGCTGGTGGTGGTACATGGTCGTTTACCAATGTGCTGGTGGTGGTACATGGTCGTTTACCAATGTGCTGGTGGTAGTTCATGGTCGTTTACCAATGTGCTGGTGGTGCTACATGGTAGTTTCCCAATGTGCTGGTGGTGGTACATGGTAGTTTACCAATGTGCTGGTGGTGGTACATGGTCGTTTACCAATGGGCTGGTGGTGGTACATGGTCGTTTATCAATGTGCTGGTGGTAGTTTATGGTCGTCTACCAATGTGCTGGTGGTGGTACATGGTAGTTTCAAAATGTGCTGGTGGTGGTACATGGTAGTGTACCAATGTGCTGGTGGTGCTACATGATTGTTTACCAATGTATTTTATTAACATAGGGCCGACATGTCAAAAGTTTGAGAATGGCAGTTGTTGACTTTGAACAAATCATTACAGGAATAGTCTGTTTCTGTTGTATGTGCATAGTTGCCCCAATACTTATCTCTATTATATATCCACAGGTCATCATCCGTCATCAAGTTCAAGCATGCGTGAAAATTGGATTCAAGGCAAACAACCTAGTAAATGCTTAATGTTTTATCGAAATCAGTGATAGCTTCCCCTTGATACGCGATTGTAACTTTTTTTTTTTTTTAAAGACTACTATAAATGATGGGCTCAATCCTTGGAAGAAGGAAACAGTGTGGCCAATGATAAAACTCAGTGCAGGGGAAAAAAATGCACGATTTAGTTAGTAACTTCAAGATACAAGCTGTTTTCAAATTATTCACTCGTCAATGTCATTCGTCATGCCTTCGACCCGTCTTTGAATGAAACGTGTCAGCCAGTGTCTCCTTGAAATGTTCTACTATAACACCTGGAATCAGCCAGCCGATCGTGACTTTACCCTATGGAAGATCGCGTGCTAGATCCATTTAATGTTCACCCTGTGCTCCATCACACGTCAGTGCGTCCAGCTGAGTGACCCTGCCAACCGGTCAGCCGCGATCGCAGATCGCCTCAGCGGCGTCACCATGATGAACGCCGGGAACGAGAGTTCGGCCGCGGACGCATTCTGCGGTTACTACGGCGACAACAGCACGATCATCAGTCTCATGCAGTACGAGCTGGCGAGGTAAGTGACGTTGATTGCTATATTTCTCATTTGAGCCTTGGTACGATTGACCTCCGGGAGCCCCACGGAAACCGGCTAAACCGGTTCCTGCGTCGCTCACATATTAATCACATATTAATCACATATTAATCACATATTAATCACATATTAATCACATATTAATCACATATTATTCACATATTAATCACATATTAATCACATATTAATCACATATTAATCACATATTAATCACATATTAATCACATATTAATCACATATTATTAACAGAAAGCCTGATAAAAAGATGTACGCAAAGTTATTATTATACTTACCATTTTTAAAAAAAAATATGTTATTCGCCTTCTACCGATTGACCCTTCAGTGAAATAAAATTTTAAAAATTTAAAAACAAAAATAATCATTCATCATCTATGTCCCTAGGATCAACTTAGTTAATCCATCGCATCTATAGCCTCAAGCCATCCACCCCCCCCCCCCCAGGGCAGGTGTCCCTAAAAAACAAGATAATAAAATTTTAAAAATTTAAAAACAAAAATAATCATTCATCATCTATGTCCCTAGGATCAACTTAGTTAATCCATCGCATCCATAGCCTCAAGCCATCCCCCCCCCCCCCCCCAGTGCATGATTCCCTCACAAAGCAGCACATGCAATCAGTGAAATGTCCTCATCAACGTCAGGCACAGAAACATTGCATAGCCTCTCTACACTTCTATTGCTGCCCACAGATACTACTTACCAGCTAGGTGCTATTTCTTATTTTTATACCGTTTTTGCTGTTGTTTTGTTCGCTGACGAAGGCTTTCTGCCGACACGTTCGCTGTTTTGTTGCGTTTAATTTTTCAGGTTTAACCATAGTCTGTTTTACTCATCTTATTTTTTACATGCCTATGAGCCATAATGATCAATAAATTGATGGTGGGACCTTAATATATAGAAGAAGAAGAAGGAAAAAGACAAACTTGATACGAATGTTATATACACGTTTTAGCAATTTAAAAAATGTAAAGAATCAAAATATGTTAAAATTCTTTTTTCGACAATTAATATAGTAACAGATCAGTTTTTTTTTTCCTCCAATTTTGCTATTAATCAAGGGAGAGCATTCAATTTTAAAAATGCTCCTCAGCTATTTTCCCAGTACATCCCCTTTGCCCTTGATTTTCCATTTCGTCACA